CTGTATTTGTTATGGGTGTATGGGGGTTAGAGTGGGGGTTTGGGCGTGGTTTTTATTTTTCGTGGATTTGGAGTAGGGGTAGTAGTGGGTTATGAGTTGTTTTTGATATTTGTAAATGTAGGTATGGGTTTTATGGGGGGGACAGGATTGAGTTGTAGGTTATGTGTGGATGGGGAGGAATGGGACAGGGGGTATTGTGTATGAGGGATTGTTATGGGAGGGGGGAGGAGGCGGCGGAGAGTTGGGAGGGGAATCGTGTGATGATGTGGGAATATTAGTGGTATTATTTGTATTGTTGTTTGTGAGAGATTAGTATTATTAGGTTGTGGGTTTTTTTTGAGGGGAGGGGGGTGGGGGGGGAAAGTAGGAGGGTATGAGGGGTGAGTGGGTAATCGGGAATTGAATATTAATGTTGAATGGGGATGTTATTGTTAATAATTAGGTTGAGGAGTGGAAGTGAGTGGGAGTTTAAGATAATGTTAAGGGGTAATTTGGATTGGTATGGGGTGGGTGAGATGATCTGAGGTATGTATTTTTGGGGGTTTCTGGTGTCAGTTGGGGTGAGGGTAGGGGGTGGGTGTGGGTTTGTGGTGGTTTTTTGTGTTGCAGGAAGAGAGGAGGGGGGGATGTTTATGGGAATATGTTGGTTTTCGTGTAAATTTTACGGGGTGGAAAGGGGGTGTTGATGTAGTGTTGTGGTTGATGTTTGTTGGGGGTATTGACTGGGTTGGGTATGTTGGAATATTTCGTGTTTCTGTGAATCGGAGATAACAGGAAGAAAGCTGAGGGGGGTGGTTTTTGTTGGTATTTTGGTGGTTGTTGTTTGGGGAAGATTAATGGTGGAGTGCGGATTTTCGTTTTTGTGGGGGTGGAATGGGAGGTTGTGATTTTGGGTTTGTAATGGGACATATTTAGGGGGAGGATTTGTGTGTTTGGTACACAGGGATGGGCGGTGGTATGGGTGTTGTAGGAATTTGGATACAGGGGGGGGATTTAGAGGGGTTGGGGGGTTTTGGATTTAATGAGTATTGATTGGGTGAGGGTGGATATTGGATGATATATTGATTAAATGTGAGGTTATTTGTGATTGGTTTGATTTTTTGGTATGTTTGTTTTTAGTTGTGGTTTGTGTTTTGAAAGATGGGGTGGGAATGAGTTTATATAAGGGGGGGTTAAGGGGGGTTTATGGGGATGTGTGGGTGAAGGGGAAGATATGAGATGTGTGGGGGAAAGGGGGGTGAATGATGGGTTGAGTTTTATTAAGAAAATGGGGGTGGAGGTAGAAGGAATAAGTTATTGAAAGAAAGGGGACAAGATGTGGAAGGGAGGGGGATGTGGGGTAGTTAATGGGAAATTTTGGGGGGGAGTGACAATGGTGTGTAGGGTTATATTAACTTGAGGGGGGTTTCTGGAGTGGAAATATGTGAATAATGGTTGAATGGATGTGATCAAGGATCAGTAGGTAGTTGGGAGGAGGTAGGAAGGGGGAGCATGTATGTAGACATGAGAGGATGGGGGGCTTGGGTAGGATATGTGGGTATGAAGGGTGGCTATTAGGGGGTATGAACTGGGATGTGGAGTTAAGTAGGAGTATGGATGTCAATTGAGAATGGAGAGGTGTATATGGGTCTGGGGGCGTGAAGAGGATCTTGTGTGGAGGTGTGGGGTCTATTTGTTACTAGGTGGGGTAGGTGGGTGGGATGGTTTGGGGTGAGGTGGAATTGAGGTAAAAGTGTGGGAGGTAAGGGGGTTGGGGGTGGTGTTGAACAGGGTGTTGGTATGTGCTAAGAGAGAGGGGGGAGGGGGGTAATTTATGATGGGATGGGGGGAGGATAGGTTGGAGGTTGGGTTGGGGGGGGAGGATGGAATAGATAGGTGAGGAGGGGGGGTGGTAATGGGTTGGTGGTGGAATAGGGGAATGGGGAGAGAGATGGATGTGTATGATTGAGGGGGAGAGATGATGGGTGGTTGGTCACAGGGGGAAGGAGGCGAGTGTTAGGTAAGTTAGGATGGATAGGGTGCATTGGGTTATTTTGGAAAACGGTGATAAAAGGGGGGTACCATATGGATGGAATGTGGTGAGGAGTGTATATGGGGCGAAATTGAGAATACTTTGGTGGGAAAGGAGGATTGGTTTAAAATTTTAATTAGAGTCAGGAGGGGAAGATAGTAGAATTAAATGTAAGAGTGGAGAGGGTTTTGATATGGGAAGTATTGGGGAATTTGGATGATAAGGTTGAAGTTAATAGGTGTAGGTTAGGGGAAGGAGATGGGATGAAGGTGTAGGGGTTAAGGGTAGTGATGGAGATGGAGGGGGGGAGTTTGAATAGGTTTATGTGATCTCTGTGGGGGGGTTACGGTGTTGTTTGATGTTAAGGGTGGGTGTGATTCAGGCGGGAATTGGTAGGGAAATGTTTAGGAGATGTGGGGTGTGGGTAGTGTGGGGGTTGGGTAAGGCTAATGAATATAGGAGAGGAGGGGGATGAGAAGGTGCGTAGATGGCATGAAGGGGTTGTTTGTAATTCTTATTGGTATGGGGACGTATTGAGGGGTGGTTGGTTATTAGGAGATTTATTCAGGTTTTTGTAGTGGTGTATGAATAGAGGATGAGGGTGTGAGATTAGGTGTAGGTGAGAGGTATGGGGTGATAGGGTATTGAGGGGGGGAAATGTGGTGGTGAGATTTGTAAGGAGGGAAGGGGGGGGGGTTGAAGGGAGATGGGTTGATGGAGGGAGGGGGGTGAGGTGAAGGGGGGAGATGGTTTTTTGGGGATTTAGATGTATGGGTCTAGGGATTGGGTAGATACTGGGATGGGGGGTTATGGGGGGGGGTTGAGTGGTAGGGAGTTTTTATTACTTAGATGTGGGGGAGGACAGAAAGGATGATGGGACTGTTTGGTAAGGGAGAGACAGTTAGTAGGTATAAGGGGGGTTATAGAGATATTAGGTGAGGGGTTTGAGAGGTTGAGCAAGGATAGGGGGGTAGCCAGAAATTGGAAGAAAAGTTTAAAAAAATAAAAAGATGAGAGAGGGGGAAAGGTCAAAAGTGGAAGGAGGTGAAAATAGGAGAAGGAGGAGGTGGGGGGATAGTGGGGTTAAGGATATGTTAACAGAGATTAAATTACGGGGAACTGTTATAGTATGTATTGGGAGTTTATGGGATGAGTATGTTAGCAAATGAGATGGGAAGATTGGGGTGACATGGAAATGTTTGTGGGACATAATAAGGTGGGGATGGGGTGGGGAGCGAGGAGGGTATGGAATGTGGAATAACGGGGCGGGGGGTGAGTCTTTATATGGGATCATTTTTGTGATATTTTTAGTGAGTTTGAGATTATGAAGTAATAGGGGTATGGTGTTTGCAGGGAAAAAAAGGGGGTTATTATGGAGATGTGAGGGAAAGAGAGGGGGTGGGGATAGGTAGGGAGGTGGGGTGTTAGTTTTAGATTGTTTGTAGACTTGCATAGAGGGTATGGGAGGATGATAATGGTTGAATATGGAGTTGTGGTGTGGACTTAAGGGTTGTTAGTTTTTAGTACATTTGAGAGGACAGGTATTAGGAGTATTTGATTAGAGGTTTTGGGTTATTGTGTGTTTTAGGGTATGGTAGGGAGGTGGAGGGTGTTATTAGTTTTGTGAGGGGGGGTGTGGGGGGGGGGCGACAGGGTTTTTTATAGTGGAGTTTGTAGGGTTTAGGAACAATTTGTCTATGGAGTTGGGTGTATTTGGAGGAGAGGTTTTGGATAGTATTGTAGAAGAAGGGGGGGGGGGAAAAGGTGGGATTTGGGGATTGGGAGTTTGGGGGGGGGTGATGGAGTGGTTTTAGGAGGGGGAGGGAGTGGGGGAGATTAAATGGGATACAATGGTTACACTGTGAGGGTGGTTTATTTATTTGTTTTTGGTTGGTTTTTGTAGGGGTTTTGAGTAAGTATGGGTGATGCGTGATGGGGTATTTTGGGGAATTGATGAAGGGGGGGGAGAAGGTTGCGTATAGGTTATTGTTGGTGTGGGGAAGGTGGTGTAGGGGGTGGTTAGGATGTGGGAGGAAGGGTGGATGGAGGGGGGGTGATTGATTGTTTGGATCTAGGGGAGGACATGGAGTTGAAATAAGAGAGAAGAAGAGGTATTAGGAATGGAGGGTTAGGTTAAAGGGGGATGAAGTGGGGGTTGGTTTTGTGGGTTGGGGTGAAGAGGGGTGGAATGCTGCGGTGTGAGTGGGGAGGGGGTGGTGGGTAGTGGGGTGTTGGGGTTGGGGGGGGTGGCGTGGGGTAGGGTGGTGAAGGAGTCGGTGGGGGGAGGGTAGTGGGGGTGTGGGTGCGGGGGTGGAGGGGACGTGTGGGGGGTGGGGAGTTCTTGGAGATGAGGGGCGGGGTTTTAGGTGGGGGAGGTGTGGTAGGTAGGGGGGTAGGTGGGGGTTGCGGGTCGGAGTAGAAAGTGGGGAGGGGTGGTTAGGTGGGGCGGGACGGTGGGGGGTTGGGGTGTACTGGTAGAGGGTGAGGAGTATGAGGGGGGGTGTGGTTGTGGAGGATGAGACAAGGTGAGGTGATGGAAGATTGGGGACAGGTTTGAATGCGGGCGTTGGAGGGTGTTTTTATTTGGGTTTGGGAGCGGAAGATTGTGGACAAAAGTGATGGGTGGGTGGTAGAGGGGGAGGGAGGTAAATTAAGGGAATGGGCTGGGGTGTGGGTGAGGGGGGTGTATTGCGGGGGGGGTTAAAAATGGTATGGAAGTAACGGGTGAAGGTATTGAGGGTTTGAGGATAGGGTGAGGTTGGGGAGGGGTTGGCTATGAGGTTGTGGTGGGTGATAATAGGAGAAGGTGCTTGACATAGTAGAGAGATGTTTGTGGTATCAAAAACTGAGGAGGAGGGTTAATAGGAGGAGAAGGTTGTGGTCTGGTGATATAGGAGAGGAGAGTTGTGTTGGTGATGTAATAGAGGAGTAGAGGTTTAATAGGAGGAGGTGGCGAGGGTTTGGATGTGGAGAGGTGGATTGTCAGGGGATGACAGAGGTGGTGGAGGGGGGTGAGGGGTACAAGGGAGGTCAAGGGGTGGGGGGGTACGGGAGGGTGTTAAGGGGTGGGGGGTGGGAGGAGGCGATTGAGGGGGTGGGGGGTGGGGGAGGGGGGGTGGAGGGGGGATTGTAAGAGTGGAAGGGTAAGGGAGGGGTGGAGACAGAAAGGGGGAGGAGGAGGGACGGAGATAAACGGGATTTTAAGGGATAAAGGAAGAAGAAAAAAGTGGGAGGTGGATGAATGGATTTGCAGTTGAATGATAAATAGGGGTAGAAGTGGGGGATGTAACTAGGTAAGTAAGAGGAGCGACTTTACTGATAGGAGTAGGAATGTTATTTAGGTTTTGGGGATTGTTGAAACTTGAAGAGAGGTTAATATGGGTGGTGGTTGGTGGTTGAGTTACATGAAAGTCTTTTAGTAGAGGGGAATGATTGTGATGGGTTGGGAAATAGTTGTTTTTGGGCGGGTGGGAATACGGGAGGGTCGGATGAAATGTTATGAGCGTTTGAATGGAAGTTCTAGGAGAGGGGCGCGAAGGAGATGTTGTGAGTAAGTAAACAAGGAGGGGTGATCTGGTTTGTAGATAATAGATTTAGGGGGAGAATTGTTATAGAGTCAGATTTTGGAATGAAGGTGAGATATTAGGGGGGATGTGGGTTTAGTATGGGTATGGGTAGAAATGGGGGTTAGGGGATAAGTAAAAATGAGAAGTGTTATAGATGGGGAAGGGTAAGAGAACATGGGGGTGAGGAGGGGGGGGTATGTTTGGGTTTTTGAGAGGGCTGGAAGGATTTAAATGCGGTGGGTGGGGAAGGTGGGACTAGAAGTGGGATGGAGAATGAGGGGGATATAGAGGGGCGGGGTCATAGAAAATTGGGGGGAATTGTTGGAGATGGGAGGTGGGAGGGTTTTGTTTGTTATTGGATGTTAGGTATGGGAATGAGGAATGTGATGATAATGAGGGGAATAGTGATGGGGTGTTGTGGAGGGGGTAGAAATGGGAGGGGGAATTATTGTGTGTGAAGGGGGGTTGTTTGGGGGTAGGGTGGAATTGATATTAGTGAAGAGTGATGTAAAGGAGAAGGAGGAGGGAGGGAGGAACAAGTATAGGTGTGAGTTTGGGTGGCTATCAGTTGGAATATTAGTCAATCGGTGCGAGTGCGTTACGGTGGTTGAAAGGACAGTGCGGGCAGCTCAGGTTTTTTGGGTGGTTTTGTTTATTTTTTGGGTTTGTTTTGGTGGATTTGTGGTTTTGGAGTTGATTTTGATTGATTATTGTTATAGTAAAGAGAGAGTGTTATGGTTGGAGATTCTTTGGGATGGGTAGGGCGTGACAGTTGGTTTGGTGTGGTAGTGGTATATAATTAATGGTGTGGATTTTGATGGGGGGACTGGGATGGGGGGGGGTGTGAAATTTTTATTTTCTGTGTTGCTGGGTGATCTGTGGGTCTGTTGGGTTTTGGGGGGGGTGTAGGGAGATATATACAAATGTGGTGTTGGATATATAATGGGGTGTTGGATATAAGGGTACAAAAATTAAATTTAAGAGTTTTGTTGGATGAGAGGGTGTTGTGTTGGATGGGGGGATAGGGTAAGATAAGGTGTCTTTGTCGGTGGTTTGGGTACAGTTGGTAGAGAAATTTCTTTGGTAAGGCGTGGGTCTTACAGCTTAGATAGTGGTATAATAGTCTTTTGTTAGTGGTAATGGTTATATGGTTGTGGTGTTGGGATGTTAGATAGAGTGGTTGATTAGGGGGTGTAGGGTTTGTTGGGTTTAGAGATAGGAGTGATTGGGGATTTGAATGGTAGGGGTCAAAGGGGGGGGAGTAGGTTGGAATTGAAGTTATGGATCATTAGGGTTAGATGGAGTTGGGTGGGAGAATGGAAAGAAGAGAGGGGTGTTGTATAACAGAGGGGCATGGAGTGTGGGGAGGGGTGAGGGGGAGGGGGGACAGTGGAAAGAGGGGAGAGACAGTTAAGGAGTATTGTTTTAGGAGAGGGATGTTGTTTTGTAATGACAATTTAGTGGATGTAGGAGGATGGGGGGTAATTGAGGATGGGGAAGGTTATGAGTGTTTATTATGTGGGGCGGGTGGGAGTATATTTTTGGGGAGGGGAGGGGATGAATTTTAGGTTTTTAAAGATTGATGTTGGGGAGAGGTAAATATAACACACAGGTATTGAGGATACATGAGAAAAGGTAGGGGAATGGATGAGAGGGTGAGGAGGTTCATAACAGGGTTATTTATAATGAGGAAGACGGGGGGATGGACACATAAATGGTGATTATGGGGGAGTGGTCATATGTGGGGGGTATTTGGGGTTATTGAGGGTCACGGGAGGGTTGGAGGTTTATGTTGGGGGTGAGGTTGGGTGGGGGAGTTTGAGGTATAAGGTTGAGGTTTAGGGGTGGGTTTGTTTAGATATGTTGTTGGGACATGGAGACAGTTCATTTCTGAGTGAAGGTTTTTAATTATGTTTGTCGGGGGGTTGTTAGGGTAGGGGATTTGATTGGTACAAGGTAAGTAATGAGGTAGTGTTGGGGGGGGTGGAGGAAGATAGGTTGGGGGGGTAATTGGGGGGTGTTTGTGAGTTAAATGGGGGGGTGGGTGGGGAGAGGTGGGGGGTTGGGTGAAGTAGGAGGTGGAGGTGGTTGGTAATAGAGATGGTAGGGTGAGTGGGGGGGTGGTTAGGTGGGATGGTGTGGGTGGGGGAGGGGGGGAGGTGAGTGAAAGAGGTGGGATAAAGGGGGGACAGGGTAAGTGAGGTGGGGTTTGGATGTGATAGGGGGTTGATTAGGGGTGGGTTTTGGTTTAGAAGATGAGTGATTGATGTTAAGGAGGGGAAGAGGGTGGGGGGGAAGTATAGGAGTTTATTAGGTTGGGGATTAAGGGGGGGGAGGGGTTTGACGGTGGGGGGTGGGGGTAGAAATGGAAAGTAAGGAGAGGGGTTGTATAGGTGATGGAGAGGAGGTGTGGGGTGGGGGGGATAGGGGGGAGGGAGGAGTGTAATGAGGGGGGTATGTTTATAGGGTGTGAAGGGTGTTGGTTTGGGGATATAGGAAATGGTGTAAGGGATGAGAGGATGCTTAGTGGGGAGGGGTAGGGGGAGGGGGTGAGGACAGAGTGGAGTTATGTTGGGTTAGGTTAAGAGTAGAGATGGGGTTAAGGGTTTAGGAATTGTGGGAATGAGATTTGGGGGAGGGGGGGGGGGGTGGAGTTAGGAAGGAATAGTGGATGAAGATGGGAGGGGTTTGAAAAAGTATGGGTTGGGGGGGGTGTAGTAAGGAGTAGTGAGGAGTGGTAGGGGTGGATTGGGGGAGGAGGTAGAGGATTTGTGGTGATAATATGGTTTGTATTGGGGGTATAGGGGGGGGGGGAAGGTTAGTTGGAGGGGGGGAAAATGGGGGGGAGACAGGTATTCTTAGACATTTTAGGTTGGGGTGGGGATTAGGGTTGCAGTAGTGGGGAAAGGTGATTGGTACTTGTTAATAAGGATAATGGAGGGGTTGTAAGGGTAGGGGGGGGTCATTGGTATGGGGTGGGGTTAGGGTTGTGGTTAAAGAATGGAGGGTTTGGGGTGTATTGGATGGGGTTTTTGGTTTTAGTAAGTTAGAGGGGGGATGAAGAGGGGAGTATGAGGGGGGGGGGGGGAGGAGGGGGAAAAAAGGAGTATGAAGGAGGTAGTTTGAGTAATGGTTGGTGTCATATGGATGTATGAGAGGGGGAAGGGAAGTGTGGTTTGAGGGTTTTGGATAAAGGGGGAGGGGTTACACACTGGTTTTTGGGGGGGTGTGATGGGGGTGAAACATTTAAGGGGGAGGTAGGTGGTTGTGGTAATGGTATTTGAATGTTGGGTAGGGGAGTGGGGTTGGGGTGGATATGAGGAGGAGTGTATTTGGAAGAATACAGGGGGAGTTAAGATAGGGTGTAGTTGAAGGGTAGGAGGTGTGAAATGTGGGGGGGATTTTTATATTGGTTTGGTAATTGAAAGATGTGTGTTTAGGGGTGTGGGGGAGGTTATGTTATGTGTGGGTATGAGAATTGTTGGAGGAGTGTGGGGGAGATGAATGAAAGGAGAGAATGGGTATTATAGGGATGGGAGGAGAAGGGGTTGAGAGATGGGTTAGGTGGAGATTTGTGTTTAGAGGGGGCACCAATAGGGTATGTGGTTGGTGGGGGTTGGTATAGGAGAGTTTTTGGTTAGCAGGGTGGTTAGAAGTAGTGTTAAAAAAGGGTGGAGAATTGGATTAGGGTATGTAGTTGGGGTGGTTTGTGGGGATTTTGACACTGTAATTAGGATGGTTGTGGTTGGGTATGGTAGGAAGGGGGGAACTTATTTGGGGAGGGGGGTTAGGTACAAGGAATGTTGTTGGGTGTGGGTAATGGGGGAAGGTAGGGGATATTGGGGTGGAAGTGTTGGTGTTGTTATGGTGTTTTGAAATAGGTGTTGTGGAAGAGGTGATGGGTGGGATTTGAAATATTTGTGGGTGGTTGGTTTGGTGTGGGGTTTGTGGTGGAGATTGTTTATGTGTGATTATGTGGGTTTGTTGGTGTTGTGGGTGTAGTTTGGGAGGTTTGTTTGTTTGTAAGTTTGGATAGGGGTTTTGGGTTTGTTGTTGGGGGGTGGAGGTTTAGTGATAGGGTTTAGTAATGTTGGTATGGTTGTTGGGTTTATGGTGTGGATTGGGATATAGTATAAGAGGGGGGGGGAGGGGGGGGGTAGGGTTGACGGTGGGAGGAGGGGGCAGGGGATTTGTTTTTTTTTTTTTTGTTGACAGGGGGGGGGACGCTGGGGGCGGGGGGGGTCAGGAACGGGGGGGGGGGGGGAGCAGGGGGACAATGTGTGTGGTGTTTGATAGGTCTACAGGAGTGGGGTGTGGTGGTGGGGTGGGTGGATAGAGGGGATTAGGGGGGGGGGTTGTTGGGTTGGGGGGGGGTGGGGTGTGGGGGGGGGGGGGGAGGGGAGGACATAGGGTACAGGGGTGATTTGCAGGTGGGGTGATATGGGTGTTGGGGTTGATTGTGGGGGGGGGGTGGGTGGTGTGTGTGGGTGGGAAGTAGGATGAGGGTATTTGGTGTGCGTATGGGGGGTGAAATACGGGGGTTGGGTGTGGGTGGGAGTGGGGGGATAGGGTGGGAGGTCATGGGGGGGGGTATGGGATTGGGTTAGTGTTTTAGGGGGACAAGGAAGGGTGGAGGGAAGGATGTGTTGGGGTTTATTTGGTTTAATGGGGTTCTGGGTTATGTTTAGTTTGTTAGGTCAATTGGGGGGAGTTATGAATGGTGAAATGATTACAAAGGAGTTAGGGTCAGGGACATGGATGGTAGGTAATAGGGTTTATGTTTTATGTTGTTAGGGAGAATATGTGGCGGGTGTATTTGGGGTGGGGGTTTTTAAGAGGAGGAGACACTGAAGGAGGGGTATACATGTGGTTGGTGAGGGGAGAGAGTGGGAGAGGTGAGGGAGTTCTGAGGGGTGAGAGGTCACAATGTGGGATAATGAAAGGAGGGGAGAGGGGGGGGAGGAGAGTTGAGTAGACAGGGGGATTTATGGAATGGCAGTATTAGGATATGTGATAGTTTAGAGGATAGGTAGTGACACAAGTGATGATGAGTGATTTTTAAGTGAGTAGATAAGGGGAGAGAAATGGGCATTGTTTTTTGGTAGGTAATGTATATGGGTTTTGTGGGAGATGGTATGGTGGTTAGATGGGGGGGTTTAGGTTTTGTGAGGAGTAAGTAGAATTTAGATGACTTTGGTTGGGGGATTAGGGTGGAGATGTGATAGTGGTGGTGGGGTAATGTGTAGATAACAAATAGAGTTAGTTTTGGGTGGGGAACAGGGAGGATTTTTAAAATTGAGGAAATTGGAAATGGAGGAGGTTATGAGGGGGTATGAAGTCTGAATAAATATACATGGAGAGGGTTTTTATATACGGTGATTTGTATGACAGAGATTATTATTAGTAAAGTGGATGGTGGTTTTTGTTACTGGACGATGGTTGAAGGGGGGGGAGGAATGAAAGGAGGGGATGATGGTGGGAACAATTGACGGGGGAGCAGGGTTAGGAGAGAGGGGTGAAAAGGAATGAAGATTTGTGGGTGGTAGGGGGTGAGTGTGGTTGATGTGGTAGAAGGGATAGGGTCGTTTGGGGGGTGGGGGGGATGGGATGGGGGGGGGGATTGGGGGGTGGGTATTATGAGGTAGATATGTGAGTGGTTTATTACCGGGGTTTGGGGGGAAGTTGGTGGGATCTGGTTAGTGAGGGTGTCACGCAGGCGTTTCGGACCGAGTAGGATCACTTCTGTCTTCTCCGGGTTGAGAAGTAGGAAGTTAAGAGTCATCCACATTTTAAGGTCCTTTATGCAGGCACTGAGCTTTTCTAGCTGATCTGTCTGATTTGGCTTCATCGACAGATAAAGCTGTGTGTCATCTGCGTAGCAGTGGAAATTAATTCCATGCTTTTTAATAATGTTTCCTAATGGCAGCATGTAGAGAGTAAAAAGAATCATTCCGAGTACCGAACCCTGCGGCACACCGAATTCTACTCCAGAATAAGGTGACGAGTTCTGATTTACGTTGACGAAGTGATACCGATCTGATAAATAGGATATAAACCAGCCAAGGGCTGTTCCTCTAAGACCTATATCACATTCTAGCCTCTGCAGTAGAATGCTGTGGTCTATTGTGTCAAATGCAGCACTAAGGTCCAGTAGGACCAGCACTGACACTTGTCCATTATCAGCAGCTAGTAGTAAGTCATTTGTGACTTTGACTAGTGCCGTTTCAGTGCTATGATGAGCTCTGAATCCTGATTGAAAGACTTCAAACATATTATTTTCCTGCAGGTGGCAGCGAAGCTGCTCAGCTATACGTTTTTCCAGGATTTTAGATATAAAAGTGAGGTTTGAGATCGGTCTGTAGTTTGTAAGTATTTCTGGGTCCAGGTTTGTTTTCTTCAGAAGGGGTTTGATTACCGCGGTTTTAAAAGCCTGTGGGACATAGCCACATTGTATGGATGCGTTTATTATATTTACGATAGGCTCAATTATCAAAGGAAGTATGTCTTTGAAGAGCCATGTCGGGACTGCGTCTAACATGCAAGTTGAGGCTTTTGAGGATGTGACCACAGAGATCACCTCTGCTTGGCTCACAGCCATGAATTTATCGAGGCCCACTGAAGAGTCTAAGTTGTGTTTTGGCTGTTGATTCTCTGACCTGTGTTGGTGATTTCAATGGTTTTGTTAAGTCCTCAGTGATGACTTCTGTTGTGACCTAGGGCTATACAAGAATAAATTGTATTGTATTGTAAGTGGGAAGTCACGTATGCCGCTTCAGCCTGTCCACTACCAACAGCAGGAGTAACCTCCTCCAGTTTGTCACGGATGGATGTAATTTTATTATTAAAGAAGTGGAGAAAGTCGACACTGCTCAGTGAGCTCGGAATTTTATGCTCGATTGCGCTATGGCAGTTTGTGAGTTTAGCGACGGTGCTAAACAAAAATCTACTGTTATTTTTATTCGCTTCTATTAAAGTTGAATAGTATTGAGTTCGAGCCCTGCGAAGGGCATTCTTATAGTTTCGGAGACCTGCTTTCCACTCCCTGTGGACAGGCTCCGAGTGGGAGTGGCGATATAGCCTCTCCAATTTTCTGACGTCCTGTTTTAAAGTGTGGAGTTGAACACTTTACCAGGGCGACGATGATCTAATCCTAGTAGTTTTCTGTTTTAAAGGAGCTGCTGCATTTAATGCAGATTTTAAAGACTCCATAGTGTTGTCCACCGTTTAGTCAATGACTGAGGGACTGCAGCAGCTGTGAACAGGTTCACCTGCAGCAGTATTCAACATAAGCTGTATTAGTTCTTTGAACCTTGTGATAGATTTATCATTTAAGGTTCTTTTCATTATGGTTTTATCTTGCGGGACAGGAAAGTCCTCCAAATCGAGATCAAACGTGATCAAGAAATGGTCAGACAGCAACGAGCTTTGACGCTGGATGTCAACATTGGAGACATCACAGACGTAGGTCAGGACAAGGTCCAAGGTGTGGTTATGAATGTGAGTAGGTTCCTCAACATTCTGAGTAAAACCAACACCATCTAGTACGGTGCTGAAAGCTTTGTTTAAGCTGTCAGTGCTGTCGTCCACATGTATATTGAAGTCTCCAGTTATAACTATGTTTTCCCATTCCAAAACTAGGTTTGAAATGAAGTCAGAGAATTCTGTTAGGAACTCGCTGTAAGGACCAGGAGGTCGGTATAAAACTATAAATAGCACCGCTTTTTGTTTTCTCCACCCAGGACAGGTGATTGAAAGTGTTAAGTTTTCAAACGAGTGAAAAGCATTGTTGGTTTTGGGACTAAGAAGTAATTTGGTGTGTGATATAATTGCAACACCACCGCCGCGACCTGTAGTTCTCGCTTTCTGGTAGTTAACATGCGTCGGAGGAGTGCACTCATTCAATCTAACGTAGTCGTCCTGTTGGAGCCAAGTCTCCGAGACCGCAAACAAATCCAAGCCCTTGTCTATAATAAGTTCGTTTATGAGAAGCGATTTAGACGAGATTGATCTGACGTTCATTAAACCACATTTAACAACCCTACTGTTAGAACTATTTCTGTCTGTCTGAACTTTTATTAAGTTACTGTGTCTGACACCCAGGTCAGATTTCCTCGCATATAGTGCTTTAGACTTCAAGCGAGGAACACACACAGTTTCAATCTGACTAGGTTCTGAGGCTAGTAACTGAGCACACACAGGCAAACACACACACATGCACACACAGTTTCAATCTGACTAGCTTCTGAGGCTAGTAACTGAACAGATGGGGGCTCAGAGGTTGTGGCAGAGCAGCTTTGCACCCGGGCCTCAGTTCTCCACCGTCATTTTAGCCGGGCAGAACAGTTTAGAGCCAGGGCCAAATTCTTAGCCAAAAGGGATGTACCCGCCAACGTTGGGTGGATATCATCCGAGCGGATGAGACCGGGCTTTCCCCAAAAGGCACTCCAATTGTCAACATGAACAACACCACTTCGAGGGCACCAGCCAGACAGCCTGGCTGGTGCCAGCAATGCTTCTGCACTGCTAGTGCTAGGTAGGGGCCCAGAGAAGATGACAGTGTCGGCCATTGTGCTAGCCAGCTTGCACACCGCGGCGACTTGCAGCTTCAACACCTCGGACTGTTTCCGCCGAACGTCATTACCACCCGCGTGAATAACAATTCGACGGAAACGCTGCTTGTGGGTCATCATGAGCCTCAGATTCCCTTCGATATCACCGAGCCTGGCCCCAGGGAAGCACCGAACAGTGGCTCCTGGGATCTTAACACCTCTAACAAAAGAGGAGCCAATTACCAGCGCATCAGCGACTCCATCGGCTCTCTCAGCAGCTCTCTCAGCGGCTCTCTCAGTGGGGCCTTCTTCCCCGCCCGGCCGCGCAGCCGGACAGAGCGTCCCAGCGTTTGTAAATGCTAACAGGAGGAGGCCCAATGGGGAAACTACCAACAACACGTCGCCCTCTCCGAACAGTCACAAAGCCGTCACTATCCTGGTCTTGTCCCAGCTGCGGAGGACGGGCTGGGAGGCTAGGCTCGCTAGTTCTCCTCTGCCTTTCCCTAAAGCTGCGCTCTGCTGTCCCTGGGGATACGGCCTGGCTGTAGCTAATGCTAGCGCTAGCTCGAGACTCCAGTGCTCGGAGACGCAGCTCTAACTCACTGACCCTGGATTCCAGAGCTACGACTACACTACACTTCACACATCTATCACTACCCTCAGAGAAGGATCCAGGGTTTAGACTCGCCATATGGCAACTCGAGCAGTAAAGGATTGAGGGAGAGACAGCAGCCGCCATAGGAGTAGCGAGTTAGCGGCTAGGCTAGGCTAAGCTAGTCCGGATCCGGGCCCGCACAACAGACTCCGAGACCAGACAAACAACCGCTACCTAAACCTCAGCTGCAGTACAGCTGACTCGGA